AAAGAAAAAGAAAGTTTCTCTAAGATATGACGAGAGGGTGAATTAAAGCTCTTCCATTACCTCAGTTGGAGAGGAGGAGAGGGATGAGGGTTTGGGAAACAGGAGGTAAAGGGAGGGCAGACCAGAGGCAGAGAGTCTGGAGACATTAAGTGTCTGGAGGTTGGGGTCCTGGGTGGTGGGAGCACCACTGGTACATCCGTGTCTAGTTGGGGTCTTCCAATAAGCAGACACCAAAACAAGAGCAGACATGCAGCCCATAAATTAGAGGGAAGACCCATGAAGGATCAAGAAGAGGTTTCCAGGAAAGGTGGGGAGAGCCTGCAGACTACTCTGCTGGTGGGACACCCAGAAAGAAAGGGAAAAGGAAGTATAGGGTAGAAAGAGTCTCAAACATCACAACAGTTCCAGGAAAGCTTCGCCAGGCCAATGGGCAATCCCTGAGCCAAGGGAGCCTGACTCAAACTGAGTGTGTCCCCTCTAAAATTCACATGCTGACACCTAATCCCAATGTGATAAGATTTGATCCTTTGGGAGGTACACAGGTCTTCTCATGGGATTAGTGCCCCCATGAGAAGAGGCTGAAAAGCTAGCTAGGCCTCTCTTTCTGCCATGTGAGGGTACAAGGAAGAGATGACTGTCTACCACCCAGATGAGGGGTCTCGCCAGAACCCAACCATGCCAGCGCCCTGATCTCAGACTTCCAGCCTCTAGGAGAGTCAGAAATAATTTTCTACTTTTTAAGCTCCCCTGTCTATAACTTGTAATAGCAGCCCAAGCCAAGACATTGCCAAAGGTCCCACATCTCACAGAAACGTATCAGTATTAGCACCCTGCATGCTCAGACATTGGCTGGGAGCAGCCTGGATAAAGTAGGGTCTTGGCATGGAAGGAGTGAACTGAGAAGAGCAGCTTCTGGACCATCTATCCACCATGCTCCCTGCAGCAGGAGAGGCAGGGCATTAACATTCTGCACCCACCTCCAATATGGGTCCCCCCTGCCACACACACACACACACACTAGCAATTCTCGGACACTAGCTGGGTGTCCTACAATTCTACTCAATTCTGACACCATCTACCTGGAGATAGCATCAGATCCCACAGGTTAAGGGCTCAGTCCCAGAAGCCTGACCCCCTCCCACTTCAGACTCTAGTCACAAATTTAGGTTTTCACTTGTGTTGGCTGATCGGTTATAGATCAGAGGTTTCAATGAACCCCTGCTTGGCTTTGATTAATTTACTATTATGAATAACATTCTTGCACATTGACTTTGGTGGACACATGCCCTCTTTCCTCTTGGATATACACTTGGGTGTAGACTTTCTGGGCCATAAGATAGCATATGTTGAGCTCAGTAGACTCTGCTGAATGGTTTTCCAAATAGTTGTATCCATTTATACTCCCTCCAGCAACCTATGAGAATCCACTTGCTCTATATCTTTGCCAACACTTGACATTGTCAACATTTACAATTTTAGCAATTCTGGTGGGTGTCAAGTTCAGATTCTAAAATTCAGTGTGCTGGCCAAACAGAAAGGGTCTGTGGGCCTGTAGGCACCTGGTGTGAAACTTTGCACCTGAGGGCTATTCAAGCTGTGCACGTGCACCGCACAGACATCCCCGCCCCCTTGCAAACACACACCTGGAAGGCAGGCTCCTCCTCCCCTTCTCTGAGCACTCACGTGGAGTCCTACTTAGGCAGGGCTCCTTGCCTTGCGCTGGTTCCCAGCTCTCCACCGCAAGTATCCCAGTGCTGATTGCCCCAGAGTACTGCAAACAGTCCATGCGGTGGAGACAGTTAGGATTATGATCAGCAGCATCACCACCACTATTCGGACATGCACAAATGCACAAGGTAAAATGTCTAGAAGAAATAAAAGGATACATAACAAACTGATGTGTAACAAGTTATCTCAAAATTTGCTGGCTTGAGAAAATAAACATTTGGGATGTCGCATGGTTTCTGAGGGTCAGGAGTTGGGGAGGGGCTTAGCTGGATGGTCCTGCCTCAAGGTCGCTTGGAAGGTTGCCGTTAAGGTGTCAGTCTGGGCTGCAGTCACCTCGGGCCTTCCCTGGGCCCGGACGGTCCCTCACATGGCCAGCAAGCTGCTGCTGAGGTTTCTCACTCCGTGGCCATCTCCCCAGGGCTGCTCAATCAGCCTTAGGATAAAGGAGCTGCCGTCCCCCAGAGCCCGTGATCCAAGAGAGCAAGGCGGAAGCCTGGACAGTCACACGCGGTCATTTCCACAATCTCCACCGGTCACACAGGGTCACCTGTGCGGTGTGGGAGGGAGCTAGACAAGGGTATAAGATGTGAGTCCCTCTATCACGGGTCCACACCACCCATTTTCCCCCCAGAGGTAACCACTGGGACTAGTTTCTCACGAATTGTGCCGGCAATAATTTTCACACATACTCATGCAGGAAGTCACATGTATACACACACTTTTGCACCTTACTTTTTTCGCTCAATAGATCTTGGAAATCGTTCCACATCAGGTCATAGGGACCTGCCTTCTTCCCTTTAACTGCGGTGAGCCCCACGGTATGGATGTCCATGATTTAACTAGTCCCCTGTCAATGGATATTTAGGTTGTCCCATTATTTCCCTATTGTAAGGGAAGCTGCAATGAATAGATATGAGCATATATCCTTTTGCACAAATACAATAATGTCTAAGAATAAATTTCTAGGAGGGGACTAGCTGGACAGAAGGGCCACCCGTTCTCAAGGTGATAGATGTTGCCATGTTGCCCGCCGTGGAAGCTGGATATAATAATTTGCATCCTTAGCAGCAAAGGTGTGGATTTCATGAAGCTTTGAGGGGTAACGGCCAAAAACATGGGGCATCTCGGGCAGCTCAGCAAGTAATTCAAATGGAATATCACCCATCCCTGTCCTTGGAAGCCTTTCTTGGCTGCCCCAGCCCCACTCCTCAGCCAGAAAGCCTCCCCTGGCTCTCTCCCACACCACGCGCTGGACCTTTTTCTCTCTCTAGCTTGCATCTTCCTGGTCCCTAAAATTCCTGTTCTTGCCTTAAATGCGGCAGATGAAGAGTTCTTTGCCAGCCAGACCCCAAGGACTGATTTTCTGGTGCCAAAACTGTGTTCCAAGATGTGGTATCCAACCCAGACAGTTCTCATCAGAGATGACCTCTGTCCTCTGCTCTGGGTGAGCCGTTCTGGCTGCTCATGGATGAATATGTTCTCACAGGTTTGTGCCCCTGCTCGACTGCGAGCTTCCCAAGGGCAGAGGCCGTGCCCCCTTCATCTCTGCCTCCACTGCTTGGCTGTGGCACAGTGCCCAGTAACTGTTGAAGGAACGGCTGACCCAGATGGAACTTGGTCAATCCAGTGCTGTCAGAGGCCTCTTGGTTTGACCCTCTTTGAGAAAGTCGGGGTGCTAAATCATTCTGAAGATTATCTTTAATGCAACATTTATTTCATCCATATGAAGCATTTTTCAAAGGGCAGTTTTCTCTTCTCGTGTTTCTTGTTTTCCCCTTTGGCCCGGTCAGAGCCTCACGGAGCACCCATGATGGGAAACAGGCCTATACTGCCCGCAAACATGACAAGGAGGTGCAGACTTGGAATGACACGTGTGGGCAAACACACACAGGAAGGGGTAAATATTGACCCTGCAGAAGCCCCAATATTTGGGGGTGGGGGGAGGAAGGCCACTGCTGTTCCGTGGTTGTGCAGAGTGCACGTTTCCTCTTGGTTTCAAATCTGACACTTCAGCAATCCAAAATCCAACAATCATTTTAAAAAAAATCCAACAGCCTTGAGAGATTTTCTTGTGAAATCAGTTTCCAAACCTCTCAGGGGCTCCTCCTCTACAATTAATCTTCACAACCATTGCATGAGAAATCCTTCCCTAATGTCCACATTGCCACGGCTTGCAGACTCAGCCTCAAGTGTAGCACGGATAAAGAAAGCAGCATGCAGAATCGTGGGAAGCGAGCCAACTTGAAGTAGAGTTCATGAGTCTCCGTGATACGTAAGACAACCACTGTTTGCTTTTTTTTCCCTTTACTTGTTTGCCCAACTTTCTGTTTTGAATATTTTCAACTGAGCGGAAGAGTTGTAAGAAAGCAATGATGACCACCTGTAGGTGAGGGGTCGGCAAGCTCCAGCCTCTGGCCTCTTTTTGCATGACCCGTGAGCTAACAATGGTCTTTATATTTTTAAGTGGCTGAAAAAATAAATGAAAAGGAGAATAAAGTTTCCTAACACACGAACCTGATTGGACAGTCAGCCGTCAGCATCGCCAAGCGAAGCTGCCCACGGGCTGGGGCCCCGGCGAGGGCTGTGCTCAGGGCAACAGCAGAGCCGCTTAGTTGCCGTGCCATGAGCCCGGAGGGCCTCACAGAGACCAAACTGTTGACTATTTGACCCTTTTCAGAAGGGTCTGTCCCCCTCTGACCTAGGTCATCCCCTGTTACTACTTTGCCCCATTTGTTTTCATCCCTCTTGCTGCAACATTGGTGCTGGTCGGGATCCTTCGCCCCAAATGCTTTGTGTCTCTGCCTCATTGGCATAAGCCCAGGGTGGGGAATGACAGGTGTAGGCTGAGGAGACATAGGATAATATGAAGTACGTGGCACACAGCGCTTGGCACTTCGACAAGACTTAAAAAGATCCAATATAAATTTCTGGCATTTTCCACCCAGGTGATTGCCGGAACTCCTAACTTGAAAATCACGAGCCTTGACAGTTTCCTGAAAGCCTGGTCCCCCAAGTCTGGAAGCCAGCTTTCCCTCAGAAAGGGCTTCTTACCCCAGGAGGAAAAAAAAAAAAAACCCAAAAAAGCCTCAGGGAGAGCTCATTTTTTCCACAGCTTGTGGCTTGGCTGAGTCAACTTCTGCCTTTCCCTGAGTCACGAGTTTTTCCTCTTATTTGGAGGAGCAGGCCCTCCGCCCAGGTCTTCTCCGCCCACAGCTGGTCCCTGTTGGGAAGGGGCAGACGGCTAGATGAGCAGAGTCTCCGCTGTCTCCACCCGGAGGCCCAGAATGTCAGCGCTGGAACCAAGGACAGAGGAGGAGACTGAGGCCCCCGTGGGTCCTGGACCAGCAGTGAGACAAGGCTAGTTGGGGTCTCCCACCACCAGGACCAACGGGTGTGCCTCCTTCCTCTGGTTTCCCAGAACCATGGAAAGGCCTCCCTTTCTTGGACACCTGCTGCGTGCCCGGCACTGTGTTAGGTGTCAGGGTGCTGTCTCAAACTGGATAGTCCTGCCTTCAAAGGCTTTCCGGCTCCCTTCCGTGGTGCCCTCACCCCAGGCAGGGCCTACTTTCCCCACAAAGCCCCTCTTGCTAGGGAGGTGGGGGGCCTGGTCCTAAGCAGTCATGGAACATGGCCCTGAAGGCTCAGCTCAGTGTCCCCCTCCAGCAGCCCCGGCCCCCAGCAACAAGCAGTGTGTACGCTTGGGATGGCATTTACCAGGGTCTCAGTGTCCCAACTGATCTGCCTGGTTGTACGTCAGCCTCTGGGATGGTTGGGCCTTGTGTCCTTCTTCTCTGATGGTGTAGAGGCCCGGCTGTACCATCAAGACTCCTCAGTGCAGGTGCTTAGTCAACTGGAAGCACATAAACAGGTAAAGCGGGGCAAGAGGGAAACCACAGAGTGAGGTGGGACTGTCGTGAATGGGGTCATGTGCCTAATCTGAAGGGGACAGTTCCATGAGGAGATGGGGGACCGTGTTTTCAAATCCTCTGATTTACGAGAAGGTGAAAATCCTGATTTTTATGTGAAAGCTCTCAGTATGAAGGTTGGCCATGCATTGTATACATGTTTACTTTCATGAGGCCGTGGCTTCCGTGGGGCGCTCAGTAAGCACTGTCTGTCCTGCTGCGGAAGTAACAGCAGTGAAGGTGGTGGAGGGGGGCTCGTGGCAGTGGTGGGGAGGTGGGCTCACCAAGGCCACTTGTGGTGGCCCTCTCACTCGCCTACCGCCGCCACCCCTCTTCTTTCTCCGGGCCTCTCCCTCCCTTCTCCGCCCTTGCCTCATCCCCTTCCCTTCTTAGCCCATGTCCTGGCCTCACTCCACCTGGGCTGGGAGAGGCCCATCCCCACGTCACAGGCTCTGCCCGCACCGCCCCAGAGGGCAGGTCACCACTGCTCAGCTCAGGCCTCCTCACTCCAGCCTCCAGGCCTGATCAGCTCTTGCGCCTGCTGCTGTCTCTGGCCTTGGTCCTGGCCAGCAGACACTGCACTGGCCTGAGCCGGCTCCTCGCCAAAGTGCCCAGAGTCTGCCCTATTTGGCACGACAAACTGCCACTGTGGGACAGGCAGTGACCGCGTTTCTACTAAGTGCTCATCTTGGTTCTCAGCACTGGAGATAAACAGAGGAACAAGATCAGTATAGTCCAGTCCATGGGGCTCACTGCTTAGGTGAGGGAGACAAGCCATGAGCACGTAAACAAGTGACTGAATAAGATGACTTTGGGTTGGAGAAATAATTTACAAAATAATAAAACTGGGTGAGGTAGTTGAGGGTGGTGGGGTGGAGACGGGGAGCTGCTTTGGGTGGTTAGGGAAGCCTCTGAGGACATGGTAGTTTGAGCTGAGACTTGAATGCCAACAATGCCGCCATGGGAAGATCTGGAGGCAGGGGACGTGCCAAGGCCCAAAGGTGGGAACAACCTTGGGGTTTTGAGGAACAGGAAGAAGCCAGTGTGAGATGAAGTGCGGGGAGGGGACCAGAGGGAGGCTGGGACAGGCCTGGAGGGGTGAGGCCTGGAATTTCATTCCAGTGTCCCAGGAGGCAGGGGAGGGTTTGGGTGGGGAGGCAGCATAACCTGCTGGATGTTGGAGTGTGTGATGAGCGCATTCAGTCCACTAAACTGGACTCTCCTTCCATGCAGGGTTGAAAGTTTCCACTATAAAAAGTTGAAAATACAAAAAGGATTAAATGCTGCTGATTGTTAATATGATGATGATTGGTTTCTCTGGTGCTGAGAGGGGATGACTGTGTCGGAGAGCAGCAGGGAGGCCCGCCAGAGGCAGCACAGGGCACAGTAATTCCAAGGCCTCCCTTGGGAGTCCTGCGAGGACTGTCTCCAGCGAGGTGGGAGCAGCCAGGGTGCGGCGCTGCCGCGGGCGGCAGGCGGAACTGGGCAGGGCCCTGGGGGAGTCAGACTGGAGAACCAGCCGGGCGCGGTCCCGAAAAGTCACTCTGTGCAGGTCCTGCCCACGGCGGCCGCACACCGCGGGCCCATTCTCACTCTGGGGCGCTCTGCCCGCCTGCACTTCCCCGGCTCTCAGGCACCGAGAGTCGGGAGCCCAGGCTCCGCCCCCGCCCGCGCGCCGGGGCTCCGATTGGCGGAGCCGCCGCGAGGGGCGTATCCTGCGAGAGTGGGCGCCCAGCCCGGGAGCCGACCGCTGCGGCCAGGAGCGGGCTCGCGGAGGGGTGCCGGGCGGGGCGCAGGCGCGCAGGGAGCCGGCGGAGGAGGTAAGGGCCCCGGGCCGGGCAGGGACACGCGGGGAAGGCAGGCTGCCTGCCCGCCGCCTCCAGTCTCCCCGGCCGCCCTGTCGAGGTGGCTCCGGGGCTCGGGCGGGACCGGCGCGCGGCAAGGACCACCTCGGACCCTGACCCCGAGCAGAGGCGCGGAGAAGGGCGCTTACTGCTGGTTGGGGCTGCTGGAGGCGAGGTGGAGGCTGCAGGGGCTCCAGGGAGAGCGGGGTGTGCACAAGTAAGGGCGTTCGGGGTCAAGGCCGGGTCCCTGGGATGCGCGACCTGTGAGCAGAGGAGGTCCGGAGGCGCCCGCGGGTGCTGTCCCCTGAGGCAGCGGGGATCTCCGCTAGATCCTGGCCTGACGCCGCCGTGGGGGCCTCACTCCTTGGTCCCAGTTTTCGGGGTCTGCACAGGTGAGCAGAGTCAGCTGCCCCAGTGGACCCGGGAGGTGGGGGGGGGGGGTGGCAGTGCTTTCTGGGTGGCCTTGGTCCTCTCTGGCCTCTCTCACTATGGCACAGCCTGGTCCCCGAGGCGTCGGAGTTTGTGATTTTGGGTAGGAGTTGTCAAAGGAAATGGCAGGGCTTCATCTCCCATTTCACAGAGGAAGTCACTAAGGCCGGCCCACAGAGATGGCAGTTCCTTCCCAACCTGGAATCAGCGGGAATCTCCTTCCCTTTCCTCTTCCGGAACACCGAAGAGTTAAGCAAGGCAGTGGTGTCTTCAGCCCCCTTTACGGGGGGGGGGGGGGGGGGGGGGGGGGGGGGGGGGAGGAAGTTTCCAAAGGTTCCAGAAGGTTCCAAAGTTCGGAGGCACTCTGAAATTTGATCTCCACAGTGCAAGGAAAATGTTGGTTTGCAATTTGAACAAAGCTCTTATCTCACCCCAGAGGGTGAAAACCCAGTGGGGAGGGCGGATCATTGCTGGGGTCATTCTTGGCACAGAGTTTCCACTTAGTACTGGGCTGTTCCTGGGCACATAATTTCCACTGGGGTCTGTGCAGGCCGAGAGATGACTCTGACTTAGGCCTGTGTCCCTGCACACGTCAGCCCTCAGGGCTGCCAAGACAGGAGGTGAGGCAGCCCAGCTGAGCTAAGGGACCTGCCCAGGCCAGCCCAAGGGATCCCTGGGCTGGTATGGGGTTGGGGAGGTGGGGCAGGGGATCAGGCATTTGTAGAGGGACCCTGCCCTCTGGACTTGAGGATTTCTGATTCTGTCTTTGGTCAAGAACAGCCTTCTTGGAGCTGGGCTCCCCCATCACTCGACCGGGCCCTTGGGCAATAATTTTGATGATGGGGGTGGTACTTTCCCCCATGGGGCTTTCGTGAGGATTAAGTGAGAGACTACTTATAATGTGCTTACAGTTGTAGCTGGTGAGCTGTAAGCTCCTAGTTAATAGCACTTCTGGTTTATTTTCCTTAGTACTATTTTTTTTTTTTTTTTTTTTTGGAGAAGGGCCTCCGGGAAACACAGGGTTAGACAAGGCTGAGGGGAAGCCCCTCTGGAAGGAAAGGACACTTGGATCTGGCACTCTCCTCAGTGTACTTGGAGAAAACCTCAGATCCTCATTTGGCTTCTGGACCTTCAAGACTGGCCTCTGCTGGCCCCTTTGACCTTACCTCTTACCCCTCACTCCTTCCTCTGTGACCTCCACAGGTCAGATTCTTGAGCTGTTCCCAAGGCCCAGAACATTCTTTCCTCCGGCCTTTGCATCACTGGCTCTTTCACAGTGTTAAGGCTGGTGCAAGGTTACTTCCTCACCAGGCCTTGCCTGACCCCCACCCCCGCCCCAGCTCTGCCAGGCAGATCAGCCATTTGCTTCACGGCTCTTAGCACGCACAGTCAGAAATTACCTTGTTGATTTACTTACTAGTCTGACTGTCCCACCAGGGAGTCTGTTACTAAAGGGCCTGGTCCCTATTTCTTTGCTGTCTGTCACGTGGTGCCAAGCACAGTAGGACTGTGTCTGGCACATGGTAGGACGTACGGTACACATTTGGAAGGTGGAATCCAGCAGACGTGGGAGCACCGTGGGCCTGGTTGGGGCTGGAGGGAAGGAAGGGCGGCGGTGAATCAGCCTGGCCCCAGTCAGAAGAAGCCAAAGGACAGTACAAGGGACCAGCGTCCTGACTCCCCGCCTCTGTGATCTTGGCCAGGTACCTCCTTCTCTGATAAGCGGTGTCCCCAACTGTAGCTCTCACAGAAGGGTGGGCCTGGGTGCCCCTCCTGGGTCCTGCTTTCCAGGGTTCCCAGGGTGGGGCCCCAGACTTCTCTCTCAAATCACACAGACTGTTTCTGAGTGGAGGAGAGGAGAGAACAAGTTCCGTCAGGACACAGCCCTGTGTCAGGTGCATCCCCAGAGTAGGTGCGTTATGCCTCTAACAGCCTGGGGTGGAATAGATCAGGCATAGATGAGGGGTCTGCAAACTTTTCCTGTAAGGGGCCAAATGGTAAATGTTTTAGGCTTTGCAAGCCAATCTCTGTTGCCGTGTTTCAGTGAATTGGATTTAGAGCGGGCACCGGGTCAGACTTGGTGTGGATTGGCCAGCCCTGGTGTAGATCACATGTGACACCTCAGTTGTCATGCACAGAACCCCAGCCATCCACCAACACTTCCGGCATGGGCCCCCAGACCCCAGTGCTCACCGAGCACCTTCAGCCCCCTCAGGTGGAGGGATCACTTGTGTTCAGGAGGGCCAGCCCAGGAGCCTGGCAGCCTCCCAAGCCCTCCTCTCAAAAGCAGCTCTATTCATTTCCCTGCTGCCGGATACTAACCCTTCAGAAGCGTCCACCCTCTGTCAGCACCCCGGGTGCTGGGTACCACACCGAGGTCGCACATGCACTATCCCAAGGCCGGAGGCTGTCCTGAGGCAGGCTGGCCCCAAGAGGCATGGGTCAGCTCTCTCCTCCCCTGCCCTAAAGGAGGGAGGTTCACTTCTTTGGTGAGAACAGTAAAAAGGAGGATTCCCCATCTGCTTGGGTGAAGGATGCCATATTTACCAAGAAGAATCTCCAGACCATGTCAAACCCGGTGTGAAGTTATGGTTGTGGGAAGGGTGGGCAGACTTGGAGGGAACCCCAGAAGAATGTTGTTGGCTCAGCCCTCTCCCAGTCTGGGACCCACTATAGGCTCATGGAGGAGAGGGGCATGAGGGCCTTCTGGATACCCCAGTCGGTGCGTGGGATCAGTTCAGAGCCCAGACCCCTTTCACAAATACCCCACCCTTCCTGGGCCACATATTGCTGCCAGCAACTGGACAGGGGTGACTAGGGCCTGGAAAGGGTCTGAAAACCATTAGCTGGGGCCAGACAGCAAGGGGGTCTTGTGTGGGGCATCCCGGTACCCCCTACCAGGGACAAGGAGACAGTGTTGTAGGCCCTCTCTTGCCTAAACCGCTCGCATCCCTGGGTGCTGCCTGCCCACCTGGGTCAGAGGGGGACCTGGGCAAGCTGGCCTCTAGAGCTCACCAAACCCCCCAGGGCCAGATGGGGGCCATCTGCTCTCTTCCGTCTCGGCACCTAGTTTGTCTGCCTCAGCTACCAAATGTGTTAAGCCTTGGTCTGTAGCTGCAAGATTGGGTGACACACAGGTGAGCTTGGCGGGAGCAAGTGACGTCCTTCGTCAGGACTCCCTCCTGGCATCACCTGTGTCCCTGGACTAGAGGGGGTCCCGCCAGGTGACCTGCTTCGAGCCCTGCGGGGTGGAGCTCCCAGCCAGGAGAGCTCAGGGCTCTGGGTGCAAACTCTGTCCTGTGACTCTTGTCTTTTTTAGGACCTTACACTTAGACAGAGAGAAAGAAAAAGAAGCTCATGTCCCTACTTCCCAGAACTGACTGGTATTGTGATTTTATCATGTTGCTGCTACTTTTTTAAATAAAAGAAAGAATATTATAGATAAAGGTGAAGTCCTACTTGATCCCCCCCCCCCCCATTGCTGGTTATATCCAGGTACCCTTTCTCCAGGCCACTTTCACCTGACTTTGATTTGGGTCCATCATTTGTTTTTAACCTGTCTTAATAACCCTTTTTAAGTGTACAGTTCAGTGGTATTAAGTATATTTCCATTGTTGTGAAACATCTCCAGAATTCTTTTCATCTTGCAAAACTGAAGCTCTATACCCATCAAATAACAGCTCTCCTTCCTCCCGCTGCCCCCCAACCTGGGCAACCACCTTTCTACTTTCTGTCTCTATGCATTTGACTACTTGCAATGCTGCGTGGGAGTGGAACCGTACTATATTTGTTGCTTTGTGACCGGCTTATTTCACGGAGCATAAATGTCTTCAGGGTTCATCCACATGGTAGCAGGGGTCAGAATTTCCTTCCTTTTATGGCTGAATAATTTTCTGTTGCACATTCTGTTCAGCCGTTCAGCCGTCGATGGACATTTGGGTTCCTTCCACCTCCCGGCTACCGTGAATAATGCTGCCATGAATGTGGGTGTGCATACCACTTTGAGACCCTGCTTTCTGTCTGGTGGGGAGATACCCAGGAATGGAAGTGCTGGGTCAGATGGTATTTCTATTTTTGATCTCTCGGGGAGCCCCCATATTCTTGTCCTTAGTGCTACACTGGTTTACATTTCCCCCAACAGCGCGCCAGCATTTCAACCTCACGTCTTTGCCAACACTTATTATTGCCTGGGTTTTTTAAGTTTTTTTGTTTTTGTTTTTGTTTTTTTAATAGTAGCCACCTTCATGCATGTAAAGTTCCATCTTCTCCATCTTCATTCGAATATCTAGTTCTTGAACACTTTTGCACCATTTTGCAATATCTACACATAAGCTGTCACTTCTCACTTGGCAGGTTGCTTTTTCCACTCAGTGTCTGATGTCTGTTGTCACCCCACGTTGACCCGCATGGATTGGGTGAGTCGCAGTAGCTGCCGGAGGTCTTCCTGCGTGTGAGTGGCCCGGCTGTGGGACCCGTTCCCCCACCGCTAGGCATCTTTGTCGTCTCCGCCACAGGTCTTGAACTCCCGGCTCTTGGGGGTCTCCCTCGGCTGCGTTCTGAGCTCCTCCAGTGGAACCCTTAGCCAGCACTCAGCCCAGCCGGTGGTGGGGAGGGGGGTGGCCTCTGGAATTTTGCCAGATTGTCCACAGCAGGGACCCAGTGATTGGTCCTAGCAGGACAGCCCAGGGCTGTCACCAGTAATCAGCGAGGTCTGCAACACACAGCCAAGATTAGCAACCTAAAAACAGTGGTTCTTACATAAGGTGGTGTGGGCAGCATCTCTCAGGATGCCTTGTGGTCTGAGGGGGGCAAGCGGTATGTGACTCAGGGGACTGAGCACCCGGCTTGTGCAATGCATCCAGCCCCCACACTGGGCCCCGCTCTGGCTTCCCACAAGTGGTCTGACTTATAGAACTGCAGTGTGGTGACCCAGAAATACCACGAGAGTGATCGGCTTGGCCAGGGTCATGCTGTGTGTGCCTGTGTGCACATGGCCGTGGCCGTGAGGTCAGCTGTCACCTGCTTCTTTCTCGGAAGTAAGGCGGACTCTTTGCATGGGGGGCCCTCAGGGAGCTTTGGAAAGGTTCCTTCATTCACTTCACAGTAGGAGCAAAACACCTACTGTGTGCTCGACACCGTTCCAAGCACTGGGGATACTATAGTGAACAAGACAAGGCCCCTGCTCTCATGGAGTTTAGAACCCAGAAAGGGAAATAGAAAACATGTAAGCAAATAATAGATAAGAAAATAATAGGTCCTGATAAGTCCTGGGAAGAAAAACCAAAATAAGGTAACATCTTAGAGAAAGGGTCAATAAACTTTTTCTGTAAAGGGCCACGTAGTACATACTTTAGGCTTTACAGCCCGTGGTGTCTGTCACCACTAGTCATCTCTGCCATTGCAGCGTAAAAACAGCCACAGACAATTTTAAGTGAACGAGTGTGGCCATGTTCCAATAAAACTTTATTTATAAAAACAGGCTGTGGGCCAGATTTGACCCTCAGGCCAGAGTTTGCCAACCCTGTACTTGAGATGGGGTTGTCAGAGACCCTTTCTGAAGGGAGATGAGGACTGAGGGCCCAGTCACAGGAGGGAGCCAGCATGGGACAGCCTAGTTCAGGCAAGACATGATGGCGCCTTACTGTGGATTCAGCCGTGTAGCTGTGTGGTGAGAGGTGGGCAAACTCTGGCCAGTGGTGAGAGAGAAAAATGGTGGAGCTTGCTCACGAGGTGACCATTGGGGGTACAGGAAAGAGGAGGCTCAAGGATGAGTCCTAGATTTGGGGCTTGAACAAATGGGTGAATGGTGGTTCTGTTTATGGAAAAGAAGAACTGGAGGGAAAAGCTGGGTTTGTGTTAGGCATGTTGAATTTGAGGACCTTCTTAGAGGAGCAGGTAGGAAATCGCGTGGGCAGGTGGACGTCCATGCTTAACAGCGCAGGAGAGAAGCCACGGCTGGAGGCTTGACCTGGGGAGTCAGCAGGATTTGGGTGGTCTTCAATGCCATGAGTCCGGAGGTCAAAGGCAGTGTGTGTGGACAGAACAGGGAGGGGGCGCTGGATGAGATCTGGGCCACTGACATTTCGTGCTTGGCAGAGGAGGACAGAGTGGGCCTCACACTCCGTGGAGGATGGCACTGTCTCCTGGGAAACAAGCTCTGGGCCCCCTACCTACAGAGCCTCAGTTTCCCCCTGTGACTGGGGGATTCTACCTCCTTGGGTTGCTGTGGGGACTAAATAAGATAGTCATGCTCGACATGGAGGAAGCAGTCAGCACGTGGTACCTGTGATGCGGGCAGTGGTGACCACTGAGCCACGGGCCGAGGGAGCGGGCCGCAGGTCTGTGATGGTTTGGCTTGGTGGATGGCGGAGTCCGTGATGGGTTAGGTTTGCAGACACCTGGTGCCTGGCACTCGCTGTCCCTTCCACCTGGAGCAGGCCCAATGTGCCAGGTCTCTCTGGTGCTCCTGGAAGCCGCTGATGGGAGTTGGGGCTCAGTATCCTTGCCCCTTGGGGTGGACAGCATTGAGGCATGTTCTCTCCTGGCTCCCAAGGCTCCCCAGGGAGTTGAGCCCCCACTGGCTACAGTGGTGGCCGGCTCAGCCACACATCTTCACTGCTGCCTCCCCGTCCCCGGCTGGCTTCCACGTGCCCCTCACTGGGGACCGCCCCTTCATGTCTGGGCAGCTCCTTGTCTAAGAGTTGGCTCTGGCTTCTGGGGCAGCGAGTTTGTGCGGCTGGCTGGCCGTCTGGGCCCTGTGGTGGCCTGTCTGGCTGGGGCGCGCGGGCCGTGGGGTCCCGGCGCCCCAGCTCTGCCCGGCAGCTTGCCGCCTCCCTCACCTGCCGCCCCTCCCACAGCCAGGCTGCCGGAGAACATGGTGGATTACCTGGCCAACACGGAGATCAACAGCCAGCGCATCGCGGCCGTCGAGAGCTGCTTCGGGGCGTCGGGGCAGCCGCTGGCCCTGCCAGGCCGCGTGCTGCTGGGCGAGGGCGTGCTGACCAAGGAGTGCCGCAAGAAGGCCAAGCCGCGCATCTTCTTCCTCTTCAACGACATCCTGGTGTACGGCAGCATCGTGCTCCACAAGCGCAAGTACCGCAGCCAGCACATCATCCCGCTGGAGGAGGTGACGCTCGAGCCGCTGCCTGAGACCGCGCGGGCCAAGAACCGCTGGATGATCCGCACGGCCAAGAAGTCCTTCGTGGTGTCAGCCGCCTCCAGCACGGAGCGCCAGGAGTGGATCAGCCACATCGAGGAGTGCGTGCGGCGGCAGCTGCTGGCCACGGGCCGCCAGCCCAGCACGGAGCACGCGGCGCCCTGGATCCCCGACAAGGCCACGGACATCTGCATGCGCTGCACGCAGACGCGCTTCTCGGCCCTCACGCGGCGTCACCACTGCCGCAAGTGCGGCTTCGTGGTCTGTGCCGAGTGCTCCCGGGAGCGCTTCCTCCTGCCGCGCCTGTCGCCCAAGCCCCTGCGCGTCTGCAGCCTCTGCTACCGCCAGCTGGCCGCCCGCAAGCGGGAGGAGGACGAGCCGCGCGCGGGGGCCCCCGGGCAGCCGGCCCACGCGGCCGGGGCGGGCTGCGGAGCGTCCAGCGGGGACGAGGAGGACTCTGACGAGGACAAGGAGGGCAGTGGCGCCGGCGACTGGCCCAGCCGTGTGGAGTTCTACGCCTCGGGCGCCTCCTGGTCGGCCTTCCACAGCTGACCGGCATCTGCGGCTGTGCGGGAGGGGCTCCCGGTCCCTCCTGCATCCGAGCAGACTCCATCGCCGGGCCCTGAGAGAGCACAGCTCCCGCGCTGCACCCCGCCCCCAGGACCCTGCCCCACGGGGGGCAGGCGCAGTGCCAACGGCTTTCTCTCCAGACCCCAGTGCCTTTGTGCTGGACATTGGCATCCTTCTTTTCCCCGTCAGGTAATTCTCTGTCCACTTAGCGAACTCAAAACACTTGGGCCTCTTAGGAACAAATAAATGCCTTTTCTTAGACCTAAGAGCTGTGGTCCCAGATGATGACTTGAGCTAGACAACCCCAGGCACCTTTCGGGACCAGAGGGCAGATAGGACTGGAGTGAGGTCCCCTGAGGCCGTGCACCCAGCACCTGCCCCCCAGACAAGCACACCCCCAGGGAAGACTGGGAGGGCTGGAAACCAGGTCTGCCCAGGCACCTTGCTGACGCTCACCTGCCTGGCTGGCTAGACCTTCTCAGGCCAGGCATATGAGCTCACCTTGAGCCAGAGTAGAGTCTGCCGTGCCATGGGTACCCGCCAGGCATGGGACTGCGGCCTGGCTCCCCGGGGTCCAGGGCACGTGCCCGGGCCCCTGGCCCCATCTCCCCTCACTCCAGATGTCCAGGTGTCTGATGCCCCTTGGTCCTGTCCTCGTCTCTCCCTGTGGCTGGGGAAAGCGGTGTTTTCTGTTAGGACCCTTCATTGCAAGTGACAGAAACCCTACCCAGACTGATTTAACAATAAAAAGAACGTTTATTAACTCATGTGGTTAAAAAGTTCAGGAATGACTTGCTTCAGACACAGCTCATCAGGGGCTCAAACCATGCGAGGTGGCATCTGTCCACAACCGTCCCCCATGCTGGATGTCCTGGGAACATTAGCAGCACAGTGGGATCAGACATTCATGCCACCCCTGGGCTGCTTCCTGCGGACATGGCCCCGTCCACCTGGGTGCTCTGCCCATGGCCCAGTGCGACACAGTCTGCACATGGCAACACGGTCTCCTGATTTGCTTCTGCTCTGGTCTTTCCCTGTTGCCTGGCTGACCTTGGCCAGAGCCCACTGTGGTGGAGGGGGAGGTCACTGTCAGCTAGAAGTAGTGACTCTGGGACCAGGAAAGCCTCCCCTAGCCCACATGACCCTCTGCCTAAAACCCCTTCATCAGGGCTCCAGGCCTTGGGGGAAAAATCACCCTCTGGCCAGTTCTCAAGTCCTCCTGTGCAGATAGAACCCTGAGGGTCTGGCTAGAGTACTACATCCGATTCAGCTGGTCACTGGCTCCCAGGGGCAGCCAGGCTCCAGCCCGCTGTTGATGGGGAGCCACCCCTGTGAGGGAGGGTAGAAGCGGTAAAGTGCCAGACACCCGGGCCTGCAAGGACTCAGGGCTTGAGTGGCAGCAAGCTTTGGGGGGCCTTCATTCATGCAGACGCATTGCTCCGTGCCATGCCAGGTGCTGGGGACACAGCCGTGGGTGAGACACACAAGGTCCCCACTCTTAAGGTGTCTCCTCTGGCGGAGGAGCCAGGCAGGCGTGGGGTGGGTTGTGTCAGTCCTGGTGTGCTGTGACAGGGGCAGGGACTGAGGCGTGACGTGGTGGGCAGGTGGACGGCAGCACTCCGCAGGGGTGAGCTCCCCGCATATGGTGAGAAAGAGTGAGCAATGCCAGCTAGAGAGGTGGCGCTCCAGACAGAGGGAATGGCAGGTGCAAAGGCCCTGAGGAGAAGAGGTGCTCTGGAGCAGCATGGCTGGACTGAGGCCAGACAGGTGGTGGGGCCGGCTCAGATGAGCCAGGAGCCACGGGAACCTTCCACAGGGCAGCAAGTCTGCTCTTTGCTTTCCAGAGCTTGCCTGGCAGCTCTGTGCAGATGGCTGAGGCAGAGAGAGCGGCCTGACAGCCACCCCAGGCTCCTAGGACCCCGGAGAGGGCAACCAGGCTCCACTAAGGCCACATCTGCCTGCGGTGGTGGGGGGTGGATGGCAAGCCGTGGCTGTCCCCAACTCCTCCTAAAGGGCCGACCCCTCCCCTGTTCTGGATGACAGCAGATGGTGCACCGGGAAGCAAGATAAATGCCTCGGCCGAACATTTGTCCTGGGCCAGTGTGTGGGGTCAGTGATGGTCAGCGCCCGGGCCACTGAAGCCCAGAGGAGAATGTGTTGGGAGGAAGCAGGACCTCCCAGAAAAGAAGATGTGGGCCCGAGAAGGGAAGGTGCTGCCTCAGGAGACCCCATCTCTGACTCCTTTAGGTCTGGTCCCCTTTAGAGACAGCCTCGTCAGCCTGGCTTGGGTCATGGGTCAGGCCAGGCCCTGCCTCCAGCTGCCCCCCAGGCTGTTCCGAGAAGGGGCTGGCTGCCGGCCAGGCTGCCGGGGAGTTCTGCTTTCTCTCACCTACTTCCCCAGCAGGTGTGGTCCTGCGAGGCTCTGGAGCTGCCCCTAGTCGCAGCCACATAGAGGACCCCGGCCCTTGGCCACCACACCGCGCCCCTCGCATGGAGGAGGTCAGGAGTTCTCAGGGCTCAATCAATGCTTCTGCTCTTTGCGATGTTCCCTCTTCCCAGAATGAAGCTTGAGGTCTGGCCGCAGGGCTGGGTCTGCTGGGCCTATGTCCCAGCCCTCACTCTCTCCTGGGGCTTTGCCTACAAGGCCTGGCAAGGACTGGGAACCCAGTCCTGCCAGCCAAGTGCTCCCTTCCACAGCCCAGGAATCCTTCCTCCCAGCCGTGCCTGGACTCCGTGTTCCTGCCGGAGGCTGATCCTTCAGCCCTGGGAGGGGCCTGCCCTGCCCTGCCCCTCCTCCTGGGAGATGGAGATGGACACGGGCCGGGGGAGGGTCCGAGGACCAGGCCCATGCATTTGAGGGGCACCCACCACCTCAGCATTGCTGGAAGCGCCCCTGTGGCATCAGCCCTGACGGAAGTCACTCCAGGTGGAAAGTGAAGTCTCAGGGTGACCTCAGGGCAAGGGGGCCTCCCTTGAGAGTTTGACCTACCGCTGGGCAGGGCTGCAGTGGTCCTGCAGGACTCGGATACTGAGGGACGTCTCTGCAGGTTACTGAGGCTGATGCTGAACCTGGCTGCCCCGTACTGAGACCCAGCTGGCCACCGGCCTCAGGAAGGCAGAGCCGGCTTACACAAGGCCATCCTGAGTCTGGAGGGGATGTGGCCTGAGTCCTGAGAGAGGGATAGACAAAGCCAGTGGCCAGAGCTCCCAGAATAGTTGTGTGATCAGGGAGGGCTTCCTGGAGAAGGTGATGTTTGGTTGAGCCCCAGGAAGGCACAACTTTATCAGAGAGGACAGTGGTCTCCACCAGGACTGGGACTCTGGGTCTTTTGTTCACTATCCCCTCCTGCCCCTGACACTGAACACGTGTGGACTGAATAAATGAATCAAGTAAGAAATGAAGTTGGGGACTTGGGGGCAGAAGGGATGATAATGAAATGGCCATTGAGCCTCACCTCTGGAGCCTCCGGTCAAGGTGCTGGATGAGAACTGGTGGGCCTGGCCTCTTTCTGGAGCGTTGGGGAGTAGCCCCGTCCCCCAGACACTGACTGCTGCCCTGTCAGCAGGGACAGGAAACGTCCACCCCCCCCTCCCAGGCAGAGCTTTCTGGAGACGTGATGTCAGACCTGTTTGCAGGGGGTCATCATCCAGGTTGGCCTCAGCGGATGTCAGCTGGCCTGGCCTCTGCCCGGCCCCAGCCTGTTCTTGGGGACTCAGCCAGGAAGAGGCTGCAGGGGAAGTCAGGGCCGCTGCCGGGCCCTGCTACCGGGCAGGTGGGGAGTGACTGCAAGGCTGACCCAGTTCTCAGCCAGGATCCTGGGGTTCTCAGGCCACTCTCGCAAACCAAGGCAACCACTTCCGCTGGCCTGCCCCTGACCCTGCAGGAAGTAACCGTCCCTAGGCCTGTGGACTGGCTAGAGGCCGCCTCCGAGTCTGAGGCTTTTCACACCTGGCGGCAGCAGGCTCTGGGCTGCCCGAAGCCTCCCTCCTCAGTGCTTGCCAACTGTCTCCCTGCCTCTCTCTGCACGCAGGCTCCAGCTGTGAAGGGGCCCACACCCTCCACATGCGTGCTCTGCCTTAGCCCTGAGCAGACTCGGCGAGAGACCTGTGCCCAGAGGACAGAACTTGGGCTGAGGGCCACAGGCCGGAGGAGGGATTCTGCCTCACTGAGCCAAACAGAGCCAGATTCTGGCTTCTCTGGGCTACTTGCTGACTCTGAACCCAGCATCCGCCTTTGTGCATGAACTTTGGGCCTCCCTGTGGTCCCCAGTCTGCTGCCACCTCCCCTCTGCAGCCTTCCTGGTTGCCCCAGGGCAGCATGGCTAGCCCATCCGTGCTCCCGGAGCACCTGCAGCCCCAGCTCTGGCTCCCAGCCTCCGTCCTTCATGAAGTGCCTGAGTGGGCCCTCGAGTCTGGGCGGCTCGAGGGTAGGGGGCCACTCAGTCATCATTCACCTGCAGCCCCCACAACTCTCAGCCAGCTTCCACAGACGCCTTTCATGGAAGGTGGCCTTGGGCCTTCCCCTAGCTCCGGGGGGAGGCAGGGGGGCTGTCTGCAACATGCTGGGGTCACGGGACCTCAGAGCCAAACTGACCCCGTTGGCTTCCCCTAACCAGCTACTCCTGCTCCATTGGCACCTGCCCCCAAGCCTTTGAGCCAGACGTTGGGGAGTCTCCTGACCATTCCTTGCCTGTCCCCCCACCCTCCTGTGCCTTTCTAGGTAACCCAGGCCCAAACTGGGAGAGCCTGTGGAGCACTGGGGCGCTGAAGGAGCTTCCATAGGGCCCTGGAGGGAGTGGTTCAGGCAAGACCACAGAGGTGGGCCTGGGCCAGGCCCCACGCGGTAGAGTCCTTGTCCCAAAGGACAGTGAGCCCTGTGCACACAAGGGCGCACACACCCCTCCGGCCCCTCTCAGCCTGCCTCCCACTTTGCCCTCCCAGACTCCCCATGTCACAGCCTCAGACTAGCTTTTGGAGCAGTCTAGAAGGGAGGAATCGAGAGTGAGGGCGGGGGCTCACACGCAGCAAGGGAGAGTGAACATCCAGGAGGCTCTCGGGTGCTCCTCCCCATTTCCTTCAGTGTTTGGCCTGGGAAGCCGAGGCCCGCAGGGCAGGTGCACCCCTGACACTCACGAATCAGGGGCAGTGCCAGAGTCCTGTCCCGTGTCTTCCCCGAGTCCTATCGCCTGCTGGCTCCCCTCACCACCACAGAGCCCAGCTCTGACTGGAATGTTCCAATGCTGAAAACAGAAAGGCTGGCAGGCAGGGAGGGAGAGAAGGGGGCTGGGGGGAAGACCAAGCCAGACATTTCTAGGCAAAAACCAGGGGAAATTTCAATCGCTGGAGTATTACTTTAGGGGGTCCTGTCAGATGTTCTGACCCCAAAGAACAGGCTTTCTGGAGAGCGGTACTGCTCACAGCAGCTCCCAAGCTGGGAGGGAGGGAAGCTGGGTGCCGGGAGCCAGTCGTCCATGCTGCTGCCACCCACTGTTTCCCCACACAGTGGGGCTTCACGTGACCCCTAGCTGCCCATAGCGACACCCCGGGTGTGGGAACCCAGGCTTCCAGGATTCTGGAACCACACACACACAGAGATACACACACACACAGGCACACACACACAAGTTTTCCTTTGTGTGTACAGAAGGAAACTTTATGCAGCTGCAAATTGCCAACATTCTCAAAATGCCAAAATGCCTTCCTTTGTATCCCAACCAAGCCTCCTGGAGTCCCCACCCCCACCCAGAACACAGAGGGACCCTCTCAG